AATAATATGTCAAGTACTAAAACTTAAGTCAATTGTTTAAATAAGTCAATAAAGTAAAAAGTCAACCAACCAAAATATAAATCGATAGTTTACAATAAATCGATGAAAAAAAAATTTAAGTCAACGAATTAAAGAAAGAAAAGTCAGTGGTTTAAATAAGTCGATAACTTAAAATGTCAATTAAACGAAATATAAGTTAACAGTTTAAAATAAGTCTACGAAACTAAAAATTAAGTCGACGAAACTGAAAATTAAGTCAATGGTTAAATAAGTCGAGAAAGTAAAAAATCAAGCAAACGATAATATAAATGTCAACAGTTTAGTATAAGTCGACGAAAATGAATATTAAGTTGACAAAAATAAAAAATAAATCAAGGGATAAACAAGTCGACAAAGTAAAAATCAATCAAACGAAATATAAGTCAACAGTTTAAAATAAGTAGACGAAGGTGAATATTAAGTCGAAGAACATAAAAAAATAAATCAACAGTAGAAATAAATCAACAAAGTAAAACATCAACCAACCAAAATATAAGTCGACTGTGTAAAACAAGTCAATCTTTATTTTTTAATTAAATAAAGAATTTAGTTTTTAGATATTAATTTACTAATAAAATATTTTTAAAAATAAAAAATAAACACAAAACTAAATTTTGAATTTAAATCTAATAACTTGAAATTATTCTTAAGTTATATAGCAAATTAAATATGTATAGGGGTATTTACGTACTTTTACGTAACAAAAAGTAGTTTCCAACTTTATAAGATTAAGTGTACTTTACAAATTTTCATTAAAATTTAGGATACTTCTCAAAATCTCCCTAATTTCAATTATCACCACTTGTGGTTCACATATAGAATAAAATAAAAATTCAGTTTTTCTTTTTATGATATATCATATATATGTAAAATTTTAAATTAATACATATCAAAATCTCGACCATTTTAACATATCCACTGAGTTATAAAAGGATAAGGGATGCGTCGATTATTTTTGTATAATGGCTAATGGGAACATGAACATGGATCCAAATTTTCCTAAACACATCAACTATAGTTAACGAACTTGACTTAACCATGGTTAACTTTGATATATAAGAATGAGTCAAATGGCTCAAGTTTTATCGGCTCTTTACGCCTATCGTTGTCCTCGACCGGTTATTCGTTTGCCCTTTCTGCTTCAGTTTTTGTTTTCTTTTGTGATTTAAGGACTCTTTGAAATCTGAATAGCTTTCTTACGATAAAAGTTTTTATTTATTTTTTGTTTAAAGAAAATGAATAACTCTGCTTCGAATCAGAGCCTTTACATTGAGAGTGATGAAGAAGATGGTGAGAAAAAAAACTTGTACGAAGAAGATGATGATGGTACTATTTCTGATTCTTCTGATGCTCACAATCAAAACCATAACCAGTCTAAGCCAAGCTCATACTCAACCGCATGGCCAAAGAGTTACAGGTAAAATGTATATTAGTATAATAATATAATATCATCACTTCTCAAATTTACAAAACATTTTTGGATTGGATTCTAACCATATTAATGTTTTAGGCAATCCATTGATATGTACGGAAGTGTACCAATACCATCTCCAAATTTGGGTTTTCTTGGTAATTCTCCAATGTCAAGATTAGGAAGCTCTTTCATGTCCTCAACACTAACAAGAAGACATACTCCAGAGACATTACCTACTCATGCTGTTACAAAACCTCTGTTAGTATCATCACCACTGAGAGATGAAGAAGCAGTACCGAAGCGTAAAAGTAGCTCGCATTCTCTGCTTCCTTCGAAATCATCATTTGTGGTGCATCATGAAATGGGAATCTCTAATGATAGCTCATTTGGACAAGCAGTTCTTAATGGTGAGTTTCATCACTACTACTTGGTTAAAAATGTTAATGGTGTCACACTCATGGTCTAAGACTTTTTTTTTAGTTATACCATTCACAAATTTTGATCCGCATATAGCAAAATAAGCAAAAGTAAATAAATTTATCAGAAGACAAAAGTATGTTTGCTCTGTTCATCCGGAAAATATAACAGTCTAGTCCCTTGTTTCAATATAAAATATGTCCACTATGGACAATACTATCAAAAACTTGTGAATGGTGAACCAAAAAAACGGTCTGACTAATCCGCTGCCACCATTCGGAACCTTGGTTAGAAATTCCTCAAGTGATGACATAAGATAAATATATATATTTGCAGGAGTGAATGTTCTATGTGGGGTTGGAATATTGTCAACACCATATGCTGTGAAGGAAGGAGGATGGTTGGGACTTCTCATTCTATTTGCATTTGGTATTCTTTGTTTTTACACTGGATTGCTTTTGCGTTACTGCCTCGATAGCCACCCCGACCTCCAAACCTATCCCGATATTGGCCATGCCGCTTTTGGTACCACTGGTCGCATCCTTGTCTCCGTAAGTAAAGGCAATTTTATCTATGA